GGGGGACGATCCCCCTCAGATCCGTCTATATCCTGGCTTCGCGAATCCGTTCGATTGTTGATTTTCATGGCTATAATTATCATTTTATAGGAGCCAAAAGAAGTTTCCCCGTCAAATCGCCACACACGTCACGTACACCCCCTGTCGGGTACGTGACCCCCCTAAGTACACCATCGCGTGGAGATACGTGGCAACAGGGAGTAACGTGGAGAAATAGCTTTCTGGATTCCAACTTCTCTCTCACGTTGATCGAAAATGTCGACGAAAAACGAGCAGTACGAAAAATACCGGACATTTGTACGGGAACGACTGGAAGCAGATTACAGTGAAATGCTAAAAGTGGTAAACTCGATTCTTGAAGAAATGAAAGAATATGAGACACTGTTGCTGATCATTGACAAAATAAAGGTTAATTTTTTTCACGAATTTTTACCCATTTTTTGCATCTATGCAATGCAAAAATGCATATTGTCGAGAGGTTGTTTTTCGTATAATAGATCAAATAGTGGTTGATGGTTTTTGTTAGAAATAGGTTAAAGAACAACTGCATTACTGTGACGCAATGCCCCTGTCCTTGGTTCAAACTTTGGACGTCCTACCTTCGTTAAACTTTCGCTATCTTAGTAATCTCTGATCCCTGGGGTATAAAAGCACTCCTCCCCATCAGCGGGCGTGCGATAACTCCTCAAGGATTTTTAGCCTATCTTGCTTTTATTCCTGCTCTGGGAAGCTTCAGCTTTTTTTGTATTATCTTTTGAATATTCTGCTTATTAATAAATATGTATATAGGACGAGGCGCCATACGCACCTACACACTCTTACACACAGGGCATACCACTAGTCTAAGAATATTAACTGGTAGGGTCGCGATATGTTTGTGTGTTCATCCGTATCGATTTTTCATCTCGAGACCTACAAAAACTGCAAGGCTGAAACTTTGGGAACATAATCTGCAGCCCCAGTCTTCAAAAATATGCGCTCTTGCCCATGTGGTTCCCACGTACAAGCCCATCAAAGTTTTCAGCGAGTAAGCTGCTATCTCGGGAATCAGAAAAGCTGGAAAGTTGAAATTTTAGGGGGACGTTTTCTGACAGTCCTAGCGGCCATTCTCAATTCTTTTAGCTAAAAGCATCTGCCGAAAAAAAATGCCGTTAGTGACAAAAAACCTGCAGTGAACTATGCAAAAAACGCATCTTCGCACCAGCAGCCGGTGCACTGACCAATTATTTTCCCCTTTCCATATTTGTAAATTTATCTTTCCATCGGTGTGTGACGGCAAAAGCGCATAAAAAAAATTCCGGCATCTCGTTATAGGTAGGAAAGGCATATCTCCCAGAAAAAAGTCTACCTTAGGAGGATGGAGAAAGGTTTGCCCCAGAAGGACAAGGAAAAACTTAAGGCCTGTTAAAGAAGGACATAAAGCTCTGCTTGGTTTGACCACTGCTGCTTCGGTCGGAAATCAGCCTGCTGACAATCCTGGCAGTCAGAATGATCAGTTTAATGGTTTTCGGACAAAAGCATTTGGCAAGGCTTTAGCCGTTTCGAGATCTTATTGGTGTATGTTGAGCCTCACATAGTCTTGCAGGCGGATCCAAGGGGGAGGGGGGAGCGATGAATTTTTCGGCATATTCACCTCCTGTGCTACAAAAGTGTGGGTCTGAAGTTACAACTGAACAAAACTCTCTTTTACATCCTCTGGTCACCCCCTCCCTCCCCGTCCCCCAGGAGCACGCCTTGAATCCGGCTTTGCTTCGAACCAATGAGGTAGGCTTCCTGCCGAGGAGGGACTGCCCTGTTGATTAACCATATTCGCCAGCGTATTGTGTTTTTCCAAAAAAACTAAAAAAATGGGGGAAAAAATTTTAAAAAAATCAAGGATTTTAAGAGTGCTGGTGGACTTTCTGTTGAT